GGTATTTCCTACTTGATTCTTCTGGAGCAGAAAAATCTGAATTCGTCACTGCAACAGCACTGGGCAGGAGGTCCTAGAGCTTGCTCCCTGGAGGTGGACTCACACATGAGGTGTGACTGTGGAAGGAAGGCAGTGAACCATGGAAGGAAACTTTCCCTCCCTGTGATCTGCAATATCCTATACACAGAAAAACTCTGTCCAGAGTGGCAGCAACCAATTATCAGCCAGTCCCAGCACTGACTTGCACATCAGCTCTGGTCTTAGTAACTGATAAAGGTATGGTTTGATTGGAGTGACTTGTTAGGTGATTCCAAAATAGGTGCAGAGGTGACTTTTATTTCCATTCAGTCATCTGCATGACAGCTCTGATGAGTCCAAAGAAGATGGTCTACCACAGCCTGGATATGTATGGGGGTGAGAAATGTTTGTTCCATGTGGCAATAGAAATGGGAACCAAATGCACAATATGCAGTCCAGGAAAGGGCAAATATGCATGCAGATTTGGGGAAAGCAGGCTTTCATCCAGTAGAGATATCCAAGGAGTTAAAGATGAGACCATGCAGCTTTTGACACAAGGTTAGCTTAATCCTTAGTGCAGTGGTGCATTTGCTGACTGCGCTCCTTAGCTTTCCCTTCTCCAAAGGGAAACACAGGACCCTGGGATGGGATCCTCTCTGCCTAATATTGTGTGCCGAGAGTGGAGATGCCTCTGTCAGTGGTGGGCCTCCCAGTACAAATGGGAACCTGCAGAGTGATTAGAACCAGAGAACCAGCTCTCCAGGGGCTATACTGACTCAGTCACCCCAGGAGTTTGACGACATGCTTGGATGGAGACACCTACCCACTGCAGAATCCCTCATTGAGGCAGATGGCCCCTGTTCTGCTGTCCTTTCCTGAAACAAGTGGGAAATCTTAGTCTCTGCTATGAAGCAGGACGTATATTTTTCCTGTCTGCAAGAAGCATTGCTTCTTGCAATCCTTCTGTTGTCTTTGTTTTGCCTTTGAAGAAGTGTAATCCCCAAAATACCTACTAGACCTGGTGGCCCAGGGTGCTGGATAAACTTTCTTATAAAAGCCCTGGTCTTTTATAGAGGTTTCTATAAAAGAAACACAGCAAGATCTTTGCATTCCTTTGTAAGTACAAGACCAGGCCATGCTCTGGCCAGATAAACTCTGTCCCAGTGTTCCAAAATCCTGGTGTGAAAGTGGTGGGGGCTGCAATGCTTCCTGAGAAGTAGAAGGAAAACCATTCCTCACACCAGATACACGGGGAAGCTCAGGAGCCAAGGGGTCTTAATATCTGATAAGATTTGCCTTGCATGGTGTGTGGCTGCTCAAGACACAGCCCCTTCTCCCCAGCTTCTCCTGTTCTGCTGCTCCCCAGTCCAACCGAAGGGCTGTGTCCACCAAATGACAGCTCAAATCCTCACTTTCCCTCCACCCTACAAAGTCACCAGCCTGCTGGTCAAAATTCCTGCACGTCCATCTCCCTGCCTGGGATCAACAACAGATTTTGGCCTCCTGCATTTTGGGAATGAACCAAAACTTCAGAGGAGAGAGAAGGGATGTCAGGAAAGGGCTAATTCCCCACTGTCTGGGGAGAGAAGACAGTGGTCTGAGTCCTCATTGCTATGCATTGGGAGAGATCAAAGCTGCTGCTGACATGGTGGGTATTGTGGGTAAGGAAGTCAGCATCCAGCCATCAAGGGCTGCGAGCATCTGTATCTCACATGCCTGGTAGCTGAAGTATCTGCAAGATCTAAGGGAGGATCTGGTATTTACATGTCTCTGTGTGTGCATCTGTGTGGGAGTAGTGTTTGTATATATTGTAAGGAGAAACTGCAGATTGAAATAACCTAGTTTGATGTCTAAGGCCTGGTTCACAGCTCATTAAAGTCAGCAGAATTCCCTCCCCTTACTGTGATGAGTTTTGGCCGCATGTCTCCTTGCTCCTCCCCAACATGCCCACAGCCTAAAGGCTGCTCCCTGTGGCTTATCCTCATCTAAACCCTGCATGCAGTGGGACATCCCATGTTCACCTCAGGGAATCACTGGAGATGACCCTCCTGTGGTGTCCACACCCTGCAGATACTTAGAGGCAAGTGTTGCTCATTCATCACTCCTTGCTCAAGACACCAAGTTCCTATTGTTTGATTTGTGTTTGTAAATTGGCGCCACCGGGTTTTATTCCATCTTCAGTGTTGCTTTTATCTCAGCACACTCCAGCATCATCTCTTCTCCACAGCAGCCAGATCTGAGATCAGAAGTGCTCACCAGCTCCTCACCTTCCTCCATATCCCAGTCTATCATGTTTCTATCATCTCTGCCTGAACTGCCTATAACCTGTCTGCAGCTATCCACTTCTGAGAGTCCTTCATGCTAACATAGACATCAAAAGCTGGTGACCACTTTGCTCTCATGGCTGCAGTCTGTGCACAGTGATAGTGTCACTTCTCCTTTGAATTTGTCATTTTCTGCTGCATTCTCATGGATGAAAGAGTCCTTTAAGATCTAATAATTTCCATGGAGGTGTGTTTATAACCTGTAAACAAGCCACCTCACTGTCTTCCTTTCAGTAAAATCACAGGTTTATGCTCTGAAGACTTTCACTGTAAGGCATTTTACTTCACAATTTCCATTTTTAACAGCCTTTAAAGATACGGATGATGGAACAGGATCAAGCAGCCGTGTATCAGTAGTAAAGATGCAATGTTGCTTCCACTCATCACTCCTCCATTTACACAAACACAGATTGAAACAGCTTTGTTTGCCACAACGTCGAGTGAGAGGTCAAAACTGAGTTCCTTGCCACAAAACTCAGACAGAAAGATTGCTGTCTGCTCTCCTTGTCCTCCCCTAAACACCATCCCAGCAGCATGGCTCTCTGGGTATGTCTCACCCAAGTCTTGACTAGGTTGAACAAACCCATTTAGCTTTTCCGTCCCGATAACATCACAGGTCAAAGTGGAACAAACAGAAAGTGAAGGGTTGAGCTATCGAAGCGGATCGAGATCTGCCATGGGGGTGCCACTGACAGTAATGTAATGTTCTGCATGAGCGTGCAGGAGATGTGTTCAGGGATAATGTACTTGCACAGATAGAGGATTTTTTTAATTCCAGGGTGTTATCAGATCTGGAAAAATGCTGAATGAGTGGGTCACTGCAGTATCAGTCCATTGCTACACCATGAAGGGGGAGCTGTATTCCCTCTCTAACTGTAATTGCACAGCCTTTGCAAATAATTAACTGAGCCTAACAAGACTCTTTTCCCTGCATTAAATCTGTATTATCAGTTCACTCCCCACCCTGAAAATTAACCTTCTTTCTCAGACCCACACCCCTTTATTATAACAGACAATGTGAAATCCTTTCCCAAATAATTTGGTGGGAATAAGAGGTGAAAAAAAAAGTTTCAGTCTGTTTGGGAAGAAGAGAATGTCTGGGGGAGACAGAAATTACAAGAATATTCAGTCTCTATGCTGCAAGTTAAAATCTGATCACATATATATTCACACATACATGTGTAGGTGTAGTCATCTCACCACTGATGATGGTTTTATGGTCTGCTTTAAGCAGACAAGGCTTTCCATAGTGCTTTCTGCCACAGCATTGAACTAGGAGGTAAAATTGTGTTGCTTGATCAGTGTACCTCCATGTCCAAAGCACTTCATACTTGCACTGTGATCCAGGGCTGTGAAGAACAGACACGATCATGAAATTTACTTAATAATCCTTTAGTCTGCTCCAAAAGTGGGCCACTCATTTGAGGATAGATGTATAGTGAAACACTGAAGTTAGCTAACACCTCTCCCACAGCATACACCCCAGCATCTCCCAGAGCTCCTACTGCTTCATTGTTTTGCCCGCAGCCCGTACTACCTCCAAGGTACAGAGATGTGGTGTTTCTCTTCAGTACCTTTGTGTGGGACCAACCTAAGGAGACCCATTTGGGTGAGTGATGGCTGAAGTATAATAGCCAGGTGGTGGTGAATGTAGAAGAGGAAAGGCTACACCAGCCATGGGTGTAGTTTGGCCTACAGAAGGGAAATAGGCATTGGTGTAAAGCTTTCTGTTACTTGGACTCCCAACAGGCTGTAACCATACAGAACTGCTTGTTGTATGAAATTAAGCCTTCCTAAGGTAAGCGTTTATTCTAGGTAATCATGAAAGCTATAGGTAGAATGGGAGAGTGTCTGGTAAGGCAAGAACAATCACAAGAAGAAAGGTTGTTGCCAGGAGCAGTCATAGAATCATAGAATCACAGAATAGTCAGGGTTGGAAAGGACCTTAAGATCATCCAGTTCCAACCCACCCCGCCATGGGCAGGGACACCTCACACTAAGTCATGTTACCCCAGGCTTTGTCCAACCTGGCTTTGAACACTGCCAGGGCTGCAGCGTTCACAGCTTCCCTGGACAGCCCATTCCAGTGCCTCACCACCCTAACAGTAAAGAACTTCCTCCTTATATCTAATCTAAACTTCCCCTGTTTTAAGTTTTAACCCATTACCCCTTGTCCTGTCACTACAGTCCCTAATGAAAGTTCCTCCCCAACATCCTTATAGGCCACCTTCAGATACTGGAAGGCTGCTATGAGGTCTGTCTGCTTGTAACAAAGGGTCACTGACTCTTCTCTGAAATAGAGACTACGTAAGGGCTGCTCAGAGGCCACAGCCATCCCTCTGACCTGAGGGACTCCTCCTACCATGGACAAATAGGATACAAGGAAGGAAAAAAGGGGCTAGCTTTCTCTCTAACCAGAATGAATCTCTCAGGAAGAAGCCTCCAACCCTTTTCAGAGCTTGGAAAAGTGGCTTTGAAACTTACCATTTACCATGAGATAGAGGATGCAGACTCTAAGGCTGCCTTGAGAGCTCCCATTGCCTGTGCAGTGTACGGGCATCCCATACAGTGTGTGGACAAAGCGCCCAGAGAATGCAACGTGAAGCCAACCACAACCTGTGAAGATTTCATTCAGACTAAATCAATGAGGAAACAAAAGAAATGTAAGCACTGTCTTTATTCTGTGAAATTATAGAAGAGCTAATCTGAAAATGAACACCCCATACAGGTGAAGCCACAAACAGGACTCTGTGCACATCGCTGCTGGACTCTGTCACGGGCTTTGCTTAACCCAGTACCGGTAAGAGTCAGAAAAGTACCTTCTCCAGGATGAACCCTGACAGGACAGGAAGGAAGAGGCAGCCTGGAGGGGCAAACCCAGAACTCACTCTGGCCAAAACAGCAGCTTGTTTGCATTGGAACCGCCTTAACTTTATGTCCATCATCCCCAGATTGTTTTTTCCATCTCCTACAATACTGCATTCAGAAATGGTGGTGCAGCCCTTCATGGCAGCTTTCAGAGACAGGCCACCTGCACATGAGAAGTACATACCATGCATTAGGGGAACCAGTTTCCATAGTTATTCCATCCCTGACCAATGAGGTCCCCATTTCCACTCCAAGAACTGCCCATTCTTTATGTCCAGTTGGCTCCAAACCCACCAACCCATTCTTGTCTGTGCCAAACCAATGGAGAAGTGCTGCTCACATGTCCTCTGAGGGAGTGACTGAAACCTCAGCTTATCCTTTACCAACACTGGAACATCTGCCTGAAAGAAAGACCTGAGAAGGTGCTGGGTGCTTAACTTCCCATCCAGATTTCCTTGCTTCCGTTGCTAGCTTTTGCTCACACTGCTCATGTTTCTCTGCTGCACAGGATATGTAAGTCTGGAATATTCTGATGGACATTTTAATCTCAAATACAAGTAATGTATAAGGGTGCTTCATTAGATCCTCACCTTCCTTTGCTTCCCTATGCTGCTGCTTCCTCTGCACAGCTAATCACACCGCACACGTCTCCTCTATTCACAGCGGCCGATCAATCAAGTCAAGACAAGTTAGGAGCATGTTTTATTTCAGTGGTACACTGAATTAATTACACCACTCTATTTCCATGGCTGTGACTAAGAAAATTATTGTTTTCCTTCATGTTGTCTCGGTGAAACACCTTCTAATTCAGGGTTTGGACAGCACATCTATAAAGTGTATAGCAAAGACCTTCAGGCATCATATCATCACCTAGCAATATTGTCAACCATGCACAAGATCATTTTTTCCAGTCTGTTCCTACAGCAGCTGCCACTGCTCTTCATTTCCATGTTATTTTTCCTGCTTGCTGGAGCATGGTGGGACTGACATGAAATCTTTTATCTGTAGAAGGGGGAGTTAAACCTGGAACTTGCTGTCTACTTTCCTCTCTAATTACAGCTCCTGAGGCAGGAAAAGTATTTCTGAAGGACAGCGTTATGTGCTGCTGCTGACCCCAGTTGTTCAAAGGCTGGAGCTCCCTTGCAGGATCTTTGGGTACCCCATGCAGCATTCATGGGGAGGCACTTGTCCCGGGCTCTCTAGGAGCACAGGCACCACTATAACAGTGTCTTGTCCCCAGTGGCCAGTGTCACCTCATGAGAAAGCCAAAGCCTCTGTATTAGATTCACCTGAACCTCCACTAAGTAGGCAGCAGGCTGAGATCCAGATTCATCCTCATGCATCTCAGCTAGGGCCAGCAGGTTAAGGGTGTTGGTCAGATTTATCACATACCAGTATATCAGATTGTTTCCAGAGTCCAGTGCTGCCCTTGACGTCAGTTATGCCATGCTATGAGGAATCCCAACAGCTATCCATGCATGATGGAGAAGGAGGAAGAGAAAAGCACCCCTGCCCTTTTATCAGCTTTAAGAATGTTCTGTGTCAGTTCTGTACCTCGTCCTATATTTTTTCCTTCACATTTTTTGCCCATTTTTATTTCTCTGTGATGTTTCATCCCAGTAGGCTGGTTTCACCCATTTAACCAAAAAGGACACCCCCCCCCCCCCAAAAAAAAAAAAAAAGGTAGTTACCAGAATTCATTAACCCAGCAAGGTCAACACACTGGGTTTCAGATCCAGTGCAGTTCACGATTTCATTACCACACTGAAAGGAGTCCACGCTGTAGCAGGCAGGACACTGGTATCCATTGGGCACATTGTCCTCTGGTGGCACTGGAAGGAAAGAGGTGGACTGTAACTGGTTTTAGTGAGACAACAAGAGGAACAGACCCGGTGATGGCTTAGCTTGGAAGGCCTCACCTCAGGCCAGGGCAGACAGAGAGGGGACAGAGTATAAGGAAAAAGCTTACATGAGACAGAGATGGTTCGACAGTCATCACCTGTGCAGCAAGCCAAGTGGCTCCTTGCTTTTACCTTCCCATAGTTCATGGTGATAGGGCCAAGGTGACACATGCTGGATGGCAGGCAGGACTTGATGGATGACGGGATTGCCATCCCCCCTGTTACGAAGAGGCAGGCAGCAATAAGACATTAACCACAAGGTAATTCGCCTCCTCACCCATTATCTCCTCCAGCAGCAACTGCTAGGCAGCTGGCCTGGGGCCTGAGAGGTGTCTGTGGACAGCAGAGCTTCCCCAAAAAGCAGCACCGGTGGCTTTGGTGATCCCCTCAGAGGAACGAGGGTGCCATCGCATCTGAGACGCTAGTGAGGAATTTCTCCTTCTCCACATTGTGCTTAAAGTCAGGAGGAGAGCATGACTCCCCACGGGTGGCCTTGTCACAGATGTTCACCTTAGCCAGGATGTCCTAGCCACAGAGCTTATGGGGTGACACGTATGCCTCTGACCCGTGCTTCTTCATGGACAGGAGCACACAGTCCATCATAGCTACAAGCATCCTGACACAGGCAAATCTAGTCCTCCCCATCAACCAAACCCAAAAAGCGTAATGGGCAGTAGAACAGTTACACTGAGTCTACTGAGGCCCCTCCAGCACTTCAAGGATGAAGGGTGGCTTTGCACAAGCAGAAGGAAGATATGCACTGAAGCTGCCAGCACGAAAGCTGGTAGGATATGAGCCAACTTCCAGTCTAAATGCCCAGTCACATCACTGACGATGGGCAATGACTAGAACTGTGCCACTAACATAACCAATTGTGCAGTTATCTCAGTGCTCAGCACTCATCCTTGGCTTATCAACCATGGGGACAAAATGATAGCTCAGCCCTGGTGGTGCCAGATAACTGCCTGGTGTCCCCTTCCCTTTTCAAGGAAGGGAGCCAGATGCAGTGCAGTTTCTTCCTCCACCCATGGCCAGTGCACCCTCAATGCTAGATGCCAGCAGCCTCATGTCCCTCATGGTCCAGACTGTCAACCCAACCATTTAGCTTCGCCAGAACTAAAAACCCATGTCTCCTCTCAGTATGCTGCCTAGGTCCTCCCCTCCACAACTAAGAACCCAGTAGGAAACTGCTGCTTGAGATAGAGGAATAGAGAGCTTTTTCTATCCCAGACCATCACAATCCCTGGGTCCTCTGTCACTGAAAAGGAAAATGAGCAGCTTATCCAAAGACTCACTATAAAGCCAATTACAGAGGTGGGGAGAGACACTCATCTCCCATCCCAACTCCAAAAGCTTCACTGGCACACAGCCACAGTGAATGTCCTACCTACCTATCATGACCTCGTGCAGAATGATGCCGCAGGTATCTTCACCACCATTGCAGGTTTTCATGGGGCCAAAGCAGCTTTTTCCTATGCTGTGACAAACCTCACACTGAAGGGAAGTCCCTGGGGAAAGAAAGAGGACACATTTCTGGTGGCAGTCATGAGGGATCTCACTCCCCCTTTCATCAGATTGCTTTGCTTCAGCATTTAATCAGCACTTTTCATATTCCTCTTCCCTTATTTCCTCTGTTCCATTGCTCAATTTGTAGGTTCTCTTTTTATGATTAATATTATCACTTATTCTAGCATGAACTTGAATTCGGGCAAGTGAAGAAGGCCATTTTGGGTTATTTACATTAACCACCAGTACCAATCCAGCCTCCCTTGTCTGCTGTACAATGATGTTTGCTTGGTTTTCCTGGGGTTGCTAAGGAGAGCATCCCCACCCTCTGCCATCGCAGGCATTCAGGTGTCCCTGGATTCCAGGGCCCCAGATCCTCTCTTTGCTGTGAGCAGGGACACCCAAAGGTCTGGGGATCAAGAGGCTGCCAGGGGGTACTGACTCTGTATTTTCAAACTGGGGAATGACATATGTTTTGTAGGCGTTAGGGGAGACCAGTTTATCATCTGCCTCCTGGAGCATCTTAAGCAGACCAGAATATGAGGCAAAAACCACTTAGAAAGGAATAAAGTGTTTATCAAAGAAAACAACAGCATGTCTTCCCTGACTCACACTTAGTGGGACCCAAGGGTGTGTGTCAGTTCCATAAACCCAGGTACCTTGCAGTGGCTGTGATATCTACATGGGGTGGCAGGTAGGACACAAGACCTCCAAGACATCAGTGCTCTTCTGGAGCAGAGCTGAAGGACATACAGTGTCTAAAATGTGACACAACCCAAGGCATGGATTAATGAGACCATGGCCACCTCTCTGCAGTGCAAATCCCCCCAGATGAGGAGTTCACATGGCTCAAAAGGAAGAACAGATCCATGCACAGAGCGCCCATTCCCAGACCCCTTCCATGTCTCATAGCCCCACATGTCCCAGTGGAAAACTCACCTGGGTCCAGGAAAGCCAGGAAGAAGCTGAAGACAATGGATGCTTTCATGCTGGTGGGATGTAAGCAAAGGCAGCTGCCAAGTCTTGCTGAACACCGCACTATGTGCCACTAAGTGTGCCAGAAAGAGAAAGGGTTTTGTTGGTGTTGCAGAAGTGGTATTGAGGAAATGCTCTGAAGAATATACACACTGCAGAAACACAACCAGTGTTTGTTTTTTTTTTCATTTAAAGTGGAAGTTCTGCCTTTTCCTCCACATCAGCGTTGCAGTTTGTCTTTCCCCAGTCTAGAGTACGCAGCCTGTGGGGAAAGGCTGGCTTGTCTGGGGTCTATCAGGTATTTCTCTGGTGCGCTCTTTGTTTAAACATACAGCCTCTGCCATACATATGAATGATGGAGAAGAAACCATTTGAACAGCCCTGTTGTGCTCTCACTGTTAGGCCCAAAGACGCAAAGTGCAATAAGAGTCAGCCAGGAATCTTCCTCATGGCTGAGTTTTTCTGGCTGGTTTCCCATCTCCCTTCCCATCAGACAGTCAGGAGCTCTCATGCCCCAAGTACGGCAGCAAAGCAGACAGTGGCAAAGCAGTGAGCTTCATCTCCAAGCTGGCGTGCAGCTTCTGTTTGCAAAATGACTGCCAATGCACACCTTGGAGCAGGCACAGTCAAGGGTTCCCGGGGTTGAATACGTCAGAGCTGCAAAGTGGGTCCTCCAGGGTGGAGTTTTTGATATAAACTACTTGGAAGTTGATAAGAAAGTCTCCTATTGTACCTCTGGGCTCTAAATCAAACCAGCCAGCACGGAGAAAGCATCGATGTGGCTATGAGACAGCCTGGTCACAGTCTAGGTAATGTCATAGCAGGTTTTCAATGTCCTGAGATCTCATGATGACCTAATGACAAGCAGTAGTGACCAACTTGATGCTGGCTCAAAGGTTCCCTGCTCCATGTGCAGGTTTTATCGGGATGTGCTGCCTCACTGAAACCATTCCCTATACTGAAGGTATCTTCTAAACTCCTCTTGTGTACTAAATCGGACACAGCCGGTTAGTTTATGGTCCTCCGGGACTTTTTGTACTGACAGCAAGGAAGAACTGAAATCCCTTGTACCCTCTTGCAACTGCAGTATGAGCTTTTTGTGCAAGATGCTGCTTTTTGCTGTGTAGCACAGCAGGGCGCTAGGTTCATGTGGCCTCCAGATACAAGAGCAACACAAAAGAGTCCTCCACAGCAGGGGCATGAGCACCACAGAAGCAGAGGGGTAATGAATCACAAATACAAGGTTCAAGGATCTTCCAAGACTCATCTGGTCCATCCTGCTTCCCAGGACAAAGGCTGCCTGTGGGGATACATCATATAGCAGGGAAATCCAGTCTGGTGGGAAGGGAGTCTCACCTTGAGCCTGGAAGGGCTAAGTGCTATGTAAAAAGCAGAGGTATTTTCTCTGCTGAAGATTCCTATTGATGTGCAAATGAGCTCATTGCTGTTTCTGGTTCTACCAAAGACTTCCTGCAAAGCCATAGAGGAAAATCACAGATCTCACTGTTTCCACTCCTTTGCTTTGATTTTCTGTTTCTCTCTCCCACCTTACTATCTGCTTCTCCCATTTTGGACTAACCTCTTCAGGGGAAAAGTGATCTTGTGACATTTACAAATACATTGAGTAGTCTAAGCTAAGCCCACAGCACTATGAGAATGGAAGTCAGCGCAGTCACACTGCATAAAAGTCTGAGTCCCTCAAAGTCCACAAAGCTGGTACCACAAGAAGACAAGAGAGAATGATATCATCACCTTGGATTTCTTTTTCCACTCAGAAATGGTCTCATACCCCAGTCGATATGTTAGAATGAAGTCAAACTTCAGCCAGTCTGGGGTTAAAATTTGTTCCTTTTTTGTCTTAAACCTCAGACTGAATAAAACCCTATCAACAGGCAGGCTGGGATAGTCAGATGGGGGTGATTGCGCCATTTAACTACATGTGGGTCTGCAGACACAGACAGGGAGATGTGGCTGTCTTTGGTGATTTTATTTTCATGCCTTTTCATTTAAGATGATTACTGAAGTGCCTGGGGGATCTTCCCTGAATAACATGACTGCACTAGCCCCAGTGAATTATATTCAACTCACCTGTTTCCCACCTCTCGTGGAGGGAGGGTGTGAAGCTGCAGCCTTTTCATGTGCATTTTTAGAGATGAAATCAAGCATAACAAGGAGGAGCCACAATCTGCAGCAATAAGAGACCTGGAAAATAAGATTTAGGAGAGAAGGCAGAGACAATAAAGGTGTCACCCAGTCATATTTGTATCTGTAGAAACAAGAGCTGGATAAGAAAAACTACCACAGAGGGCTTACACTGGGAATTGGGAGAATTTTCTAAGTGTCAGTAGTGAAGCTTATTGCCTGGGAAGGTGTGGATCCTCCTTCCTGGGTGGCTTGGAAAAACAGGCTAGACATAGGCATTAGGAAATTATTTAAGCTGATAGGATCCTGCTCCAGGGCTCAGAGATGGACTAGATGTTCTCTCTCAAGATCCTTTCTAAATTGGTTCTTATTCTGTAACTTCACAGTGCTCATGAAGCCCCTGTCTTCTGCTGCATGTCCACGTTCCCAGAAGCAGAGAAGGGTGACAAGGACCGTCACACGCACAGGGAGGTGAGGCAGAGGCTGGGGAGGTCAGAAAAATCTGTGAGGTGAGAAGTCAGAAATCCAGTCCTGAAAACTGCATTGACTGGAAGGCGAGAAGAAGGGGTATGTTGAAGAGAAAGATGTCCAGCAAAAGAAAGATGCCCATCTAGGCTAGAGCTTGGATGAAAGTCATGCATGAATTTGTCATGCAAGTTCATGGCAGAAAATGATAGTGGAAATCTATGATTTTAAAGAATCATAGATTCATTTATGTTGGACAAGATCATCAAGTCCAATCATTAACTAAACACTGACAAGTCCGCCACTAAACCATGTCCCTAAGCACCATATACATGTCTTTTAAATACCTCCAGGGATGGTGGTTCCACTGATAATCTAGGCAGCCTGTTTCAATGCTTGACAACCCTTTTGGTGAAGAAATATTTCCTAATGTCCAGTTTAAACCTCCCCTTGCACACCTTGAGGCCATTTGCTCTCATTATAAGAATACAAACGTAAAGATACATCATCAGACCCGGATCAGAAAGATCTGGAAAAAGGAAGGGAAGTGGCAAAGGTGCAACAAATAAAAGAAAATACAGAAAGGGATGGGGGTAGCATAGCTTTGCAGGACTACAAGAAATCTGAAGGGTCTACAGGAAATCTGTAGAGGGGCTTTTTCCATGGGCATGTAGTGACAGCACAAGGGGGAATGGCTTTGAACTGATGCAGGAGAGATCAAGATGAGATTTTAGGCAGAAGCTCTTCCCTGTGAGGGTGCTGAGTTGCTCGCACAGGTTGCCCAGAGAAGCTGTGTCTGCCCCATCCCTGGCAGTGTTCAAGGCCAGGTTGGATGGGGCTTGGAGCAACCTGCTCTAGTGGAAGGTGTCCTTGCTCATGGCAGGGGGCTGGAACTGGATGAGCTTTAAGGTCCCTTCCAATCCAAACCATTCTGTGATTTTATACTGGGGAAAAGCCTTTTACCGACCTAACTGGGGTTGAAATGGAAGGAGATGCTCAAAAGGAGAATGACAATGATGGTTTTAGGAAAGAAGCAGTGCGATCTAAGCTAAGGCTGATCTGATGGTCAGATCAGAGGGGGCTGGGCTGAGCAGCCTGCTCCTGTGGTGAAATACTTGAGAACGATCCAGGAGGACGGGATGTCCCCGGGTTGAGGGTGAAGCTGACACAGCCCTGGACCAGGCAACTGGCTGCAGCCCTCATCCCGCACAGCAGCTGGGGCCCTGACGGCTGGGAACACCATGACCAAACTTCTCCTCCCAGCCCCTAGGAAGCCAGCAAAGCACTTTTTGCAACAGCAGGCAAAAACGAGAACCCAGGCAGAGCCACTGGCAATGCAACTGGTCAGCTCCGAGGCACAGCTCACACTGGCAATCTAAAACCTCGTTTGCAGCTATCCTGATCTGCAGAAATCATTTGAGGAACAGCTCAGATGTACTTGGGATTCGCTGGGATTCACATCTGATTCAGGAAGTCCCAACACTGCAGTAGCTGAGGCGGGCAGAGTAGTACAGAGACAGGATTTTCTTAGATGTTTGCTCTGCTGTTTAGAGCTCTGCTTACATCCACTGGTCTGTTGTTGTTGGGGATGTTTTTTTGCTGATTTCGAGAATTTCCTACCCCTGTACTCTGCTCTCATGAGACCTCACCTGGAGTATTGTGCGCAGTTCTGGTGTCCTCAACATAAAAACGACATGGAACTGTTGGAACAAGTCCAGAGGAGGCCACGAGGATGATCAGGGGACTGGAGCACCTCCTGCATGAAGACAGGCTTGAGAAAGTTGGGGCTGTTCAGCCTGGAGAAGAGAAGGTTGTGTGGAGACCTCATAGCAGCCTTCCAGTATCTGAAGGGGGCCTATAAGGATACTGGGAAGTGATTCTTCATTAGGAACTGCAGCAATAGAACAAGGAGTAATGGGTTAAAACTGAAACAGGGGAAGTTTAGACTGGATATATGGAAGAAGTTCTTTACTGTAAGGGTGGTGAGGCACTGGAATGGGTTGCCCAGGGAAGCTGTGAAAGCTCCATCGCTGGCGGTGTTCAAGACCAGGTTGGACGAGGCCTTGGGTGACATGGTTTAGTGTGAGGTGTCCCTCCCCATGGCAGGGGGGTTGGACCTTGATGATCTTAAGGTCCTTTCCAACCCTAACTATTCTATGATTCTATTTTCCAGGCTGCTATCCCCAGCAGAGCATGGGTATTGCACCCTGAATCCAGCTCTCCAGAGGAACATCTCTTGGGTGAGGGTCAGCCACACACCAGCAGCAGCTTGATGGGGTTGGGCTGGCTGCAGAGGAGCAGAGCAGCTCTCATTGCACCTGCTGCCACTGTCTGTAGCTGAATAGAGACAGGGAGCAGGTGATGCTCAAATCAAAGCAGAGACCTTGAGGAAGAGTATGGTCATGTGCATGCTCCAGGTCATGGATGATATATTCAGATGCATGTCACTATGTCAA